ACAGAAGAGAAGAACATGTCGCTTAGCAACCCCTCTTAGCCAGCACTGGGGGAGACAGGAGGGATGGATGGTCCAGAGCCACAAAAGGGGAGGATTAAGCCCCGTCAGGAAACTAAACTTGGGACAAAACTGAAGCAAGGGAATAAACAAACATTTGCAGAATTGGGTAATCTCACTTTTTCCTTTTTTTTTTTTTTTGTTTTTTTTTTTAATATCCCACTTCTGGTCTATTAATAGCAATCTTCCTCCTAAATGAGAAAATCCGGCACGGGATGGACGGCGCAGGCTTCAACAGCTTCAGGCTGGGTTTCAGCTGGAGGGAACCTGAAGGTTAATTTTAAACCAGTTCAACACATTTTAAATAGAATTAGTGTTGTCAAGACTAATCGTAATTAATTTCATTCTGCAGTTTAACACTTCAAATAAATTTTGTGTGAGTCTCACCCTGTTGTTGGGCAGCCCAAGTGTCCCCAGCCTGGTTTATCCAGGGTCACTTACTTTGTCATAAATAAACCCCAGATTCTCTGAGCAGTTACCAGGCTGTGATTTGCTGGTAACTAGGTAACATCTTAGTGGCTGCAAAAAAAAATACCCATTAGAAAAGTAACTTTGCACTGAAGGTGAGCCCTCACCCAACCTCTGCCCTTCCTCAGCTGCAGGACAGCGACGTCCTGCAGAGCTGTGACAGGAAGGGGCACCAGCTCAAACCCTCCTCCTCTTGCCCTTGCTGACCAGTGCCAGCCTAGAGCAGCCCTGATTTATTTTTTTTTCTCAAACATCAAGCCCCAGAGCTCTGCATGGCTCAATTATGGAAGAGAAAATGGTGCAAAAAACCTGTGTCAGAGGAAGAATGACAGAACTAGCCCACTTCAACATCTCACATAGATGAAAAATAGCTCATAATTAAATACAGGTAAATTTTTACACCTGGTCTTCTATCATAGAGATTGTTTAAAATCCTAATTTTCATGCCACTGTCATGTTCTATTCACCTATAATTTATTACTGAACAGTTAAGCCCTAATGGTTCACACGTCTCCCAGAGCCCAGTGCAGGCAATCCTGTGCTCAAACTCTAGTAAAATTGCAGATTGTTAGACTGAGAGCCTACCTCCATCCACAGGATGGAAGCTTGTCTAAACTGGCATCTGCTGCATATTCCAACAATTACAAACATACCTGAAACCAGACATTGTTTGACTCTGGAGTAACCTTGTTTTCATCTAGTAAGGGAAGTGGTAAGTGCTAGCGTGGAGCTCACTCTTAAAACAGTCTACTGAAGAACTTGGAGCATAAGTAACAAGATCATTTTTTATTACCCAAAGATCTGTAGGGTAGATCCCAGTCCTCAATGAGAATTTTACTGGTTACTGCCAGAGAGCCTGGATTTTACCCAGGATCTCTGAGTGTGCTTTTTGTACTGGCAAATGCTCATGTAATGTGATTCTTTGGAGAAATTTAATTGAAGAGAAATGTGTAAGGCACTTGGCATTAAGTGGTCTAAGTTTGTTAACGTAGAGTATGGAGAATGAAGCCCAGATTAGAAGCAAGTAACACTAACTCACTGTGAGCATTTCCATAAAAATTACTTTAGGGTGAAGCTTGTATTTTTGTAACACATGTTTTCTCTAGGCTTTCACTTTAATGATCCAAACAAATTTAGAAGCTTTATTTGAAATATCACAAGCTGAAGCAAACCCCATTGACTTGACTTTGTCTTTTCTCTCACTTACACCAGGGTCAACAATTCTTTACTGTAACTCGATACTGAAAAAGTGTTTTTGCTGACTGCCCAAATCGAGGGGGAGGAGGAGTCCAGGAACAGTAGAACTCTTTTACTTATGCTTGTGTTTACAGCACCAGTTCATACACTTGGTGGGGTTTATTTTTAGGAAACAGAAATATGTAATACCCGTAAGGCCAAGATGATCTTTGTTGGAGGTTCTTATTACAAACATTTTATGTGATTCCTCCAGCAGATGCAGAACATCTCCAGCTTCTTGAGTAGACTTTGTCAGGCTGATAGTCTTGAGGAACATGTTTTGGGCTACACTGACTTAAAAAGCTGTACAATTAACATAGCTTTCTGGTTATGGCATCCAGGTTCCCAGATCAGGACGATACATGAAGAAAGCATGCAGATAAGGCATCGTTTGCCCAAACATGTCATCAGAAACTGACTTCCTAAAGGTATGTCTCGGGCTGGAGAATGCAAACACAGATGTGTGATATTTCTCCATTTCAGAACAGGCATTATAATATCCCTATGATACATATTTCCTTCACAATTTCTTAATTCCAGTACTGACAGAGGGAGAGTAATCCGAATTCCCAGAAGCACTGTGTTGGAGAACTCTGCGTTTAGTTCAGCAGTTCTGGAAAATATTTTGGCCCAGCTTACCAGTATTTGGGAAAAGAAGATTATTTCTGGTGTAGTACCACAGGTCTTGTTCTCAGGGAAGAATCTTTAATCCGAAATGTATCAGACCAGTTCTTTCTCTTGTAATATCCTAAAGGAAAATAGAATTATTCAGCTTTTTGTCACAATACAAAGAAAAGTGTGAAGTCAAAAGTAAGCTCCTCCTCAGTGGAGGGACAATGGCTGTCTCTTTAAACTAAAAGCACACTGGTCCCAGTGCCCTCTGCAAAACAGTGGGACATCACAGAAAGTTTTTTTGGTGTTAGAGGCTCAATTTCCCCAGGAATCAGTAACTACCACCAGGAGAACTGCAGAGATGTGGGACATCTTTACTGCTTGCAGTACCACCACCACACTGCTGACTGCCAGGCAGCTGGCATATAAATGGACTGAAAAATCCACTGAAACGCTCTGATGTTGTATAGATGCAGAATTTGAAAGGATTATGAGTGTTTGTTAAAAGAAAATTAATAAAAGACATTTATAAGGCTATGGAAAATACTGGTGGTCTAAAAGAAGAAGAGGAAATTCTCATTGTTTTTCTCACTATGTAAGGAACATGGGCAATCACAGAGTGAGGGAGATACAGTGTGCAAAAACCCCCAAACAAGCCCAAAGAAACCATTCCCTGTTGGATTTCACTGTGGATTTCACCTCAGGTGAGGGGGGATCGTGGCCCAGCCTGCCCAAAGCAGTCCTGCTCGCTCCCATCTCTCATCAGAGGCACCACAAGTAGCACCCACATGGTGCTGCAGCACTGAAAATTTGTGACTGGAAGCAAATGGTTTGGCAGGAGAGAAAAAAACAGGTGCAGAGAGGTCCCTGTCCTCAGAAAGCCTGCTGATCCAAAACCTTTCTCCTTGGAAGAAGTCATATTTACATGGCAAATTCAAACGTGACAGCGGCAGAACATTCCCGAGAAAGCCCCTTATTAATATTTTGGCAGCATGAGATTGTTTTTTTTCCCAATTGCACATGTTGCTCCATCTGCCACAAAGCCATTGGTTCCAACAGCCTGGCCTTCCCCGTTAAAGGGGCATCACACGTCATGTTTGTGGTTGGGCTGTGAGGAGAGGGAAGTGATAGGAGTGTGGATCGCGCTGCAGTGGCGTACCCTGTTGGCAAGGAGTTTGCTGTGAGAAAACAAGCCAGCTGAGAAGGTGTTTCCTCCCTGTTTACTAGTGTGACAACTGTTAATTTAGTTGTGTTTGGTACCTTAGCTGGTGGCCTGTTCTTTAAGGGTTTGAGCAGAGGGTAGTGGGCTTACCTAGCTTGCAATAGCAGCGAGGGCAAAACATTGTTTAAATTTAGTAGAATTCTGTAATTAGACTTTTAAGAATCACATTAAACAAGAAGTGGTTCTATTTGTCAACACCCAGTCCATCGTTTTGGAGTATACAAAAGTCCTTTCATAATTAAAAAAAAAAAAATTGAACTTTTTTGTCTTTTGTTCTTCACTGACATCACACCAACTTCTCACCATTCACAGGAACAGGAGGGAGAGTCCCCACGCCAGGACAGCCAGGGCACACCAGTCATCCACATCCCATCCCCGCTTCAGCTCTGGACCCTGTCTCCTGAACCCCAGGTCATAGCTTACCTGGGACATTTTTGGAGCTTAACATCATAACAAGTGTGTCTCTGCAAAACACTTTGTTTTTAGCAAAACATCACATTTCCACAAAGACACCTTCCTGATTTCTTTCTTTAAAATCTGAGTTATGATGAGGGTAAGAGGTATGTGATTCCCTAAACCCAAAGGAGATATCCAATGGAAGAAAGCAATCTTAATTCTAAAATGACTGTTTCAGTGATGACTTGTAATCTGTGCAGTTTTATCTACTTGATAATACCCCGCTTAGTGTTAGATCTAAAAAAAGAATGAAATGAGAAAATCATTCCTTTGATATGCATTAAGTTATTCAGTTAGTAAATTAGTGAATCTTATCCTGAGTGTTATTAGCTATTAGCATGTTACACTTCTTGATGTTGCTCATGAAGAATGCATATGAAAATGAGGGGAAAAAAATTCCCTTTTGAAGTTCCTGCCACTTGAGTTGTTGACATTTCTTTTAATTGGTGAACGTCCTCTTGAATGCAGTATTCCCACTGTCTGGTTTTATGAGAGATTCTTCATTTTTAATTTGTTCTCCCATTGATTAGACTTTTTTTTTTGAATGGGTAGCTCTCAAGATAATTAGCCTTTCAAGGGAACCATGTTCTCCTAAATAGTTATTAATGAGTACCTCCCCCATTCAGTGCACTTAGGCCTTTTTCATTAGGGGAATTTCCAGCTTACATGTGGGCTGGTCGAGCCAGGCCTGGTACCACCAAAGACAGCAGGAATCACTGCAGATTTCGGGAAGAATGAGATCAGACCCTGGGAGTGAAAAAAGATCATTTGCATTCACTTTGTCTTTGGCAGGTGCCTGTTTTCTAGGAGTACTTACAAACAGTTCTTCAGGATCCAGGGTAGATTGAGGAGGGAGTGAAATGAGTGAAAGAAAACAAGGTGATTCCATGTGAACCAGGATTCCATCTTCAAAGGATACCATCAGCTGCTGCAGATGGCCTAAGGAACCTCAGCTGGACTGCCTGGTTCCCAGTGCTGGAAATGTACAGCTCCCTTTTCTTGAAAGTCAAAGATAAACCCATTAAACCCAACCATCATTCTGTATCTGAAGTTACTGTCTCAAGAATCTGAAGTTGCTTTCCCACTAAAGATCCAAGGATCTTCAGTCAGAATATGCTTTAGTTTACGAATTATTGCCAGAGCTACCCTTGTAGTTAAGAGCACATAATAAAATACTCCAGCATGTCACACACAGCTACAGTGGCCTGATCCCATTCTGGCTCCTGCTTGGCTCCCCTAAGCCGGTTCTTGTCCCTTCCCTTCCTCTTGTCCTTAGCCTTAAACTGTGCCCCGAGCATTGCCAGGTATCCTCCTGCTGGAATACAGTCTTGACTTTGTATGTCACACTCTGCCCTTTCTGTTTGCTCTTTCAAAACAGACTGGAACATCATCCTCATCCTTTCTCTGCCTCCCCATAGCTCTCCTGCTGTCTTTCCCTGCTACCTCCACACTTGGCCATTAAGGAACCTCTACCAGAAATATGGATTTTCCTGCCATTCCTGGACAGACTTTTATGCAAACAAGAACCTCATGGCATTTCTCCATGAAGCTGTTCAAGGTGAGTGTCCTAAACCAGGAGGGTTTAGAGTCTTTCAAGCTCATGCCATCAGTTTATTTCCCAATTTCTATGAACAGTATGATCACTGCTTTTTTGTCATTCCCATCTGCTGTCTTGACTTCAGCAGAGGTTACACTATGGGTCAGCCTGGACTGACTGGATTTAAATTTGTCACTTATTTCTCCATCACAGAAATGGCACATTTCAGATATGTCCTTTTCTATCCTAACTGAGAACTAAAGCTTTGAACCAGGCTCTGATGATCTTATGGCTCACATCCATAACATTCCTGCTTTCTGGGCTTGACCAATGCCATTAGGATGATAAAGTCAAATAATTTTATTTAGTTTAAGGTTTTAACCTTAGTAGTCTCTTCTACCTCCTTTTGTTTCCTGCTTTTCTGTCATTTCAAGTAAGTTACTGCACTTTGCTTTCCCAGTGTCCTCCTTTACCCGCCTGCCCTACCCATCTCTTTCCCTAGGAAATTGCTTGTCCCTCCCAGGGGCAATAATTCCCAAATTTCCTCTGTAGCCAAGAAGTCATTTCACCCACACAGCTATCTCCTGAATCTCCTGTGAGTGTATCCTTGTTTTCCTGTCCCGTGCACAGGTATGGTGTTACCATGAGCACCATGAGCTGTCACTGCCCTGCCCTGCCCTGGGGTTGCTCTTTTCATCCACATTTATGCACAGCCAATTTCAGTGGGTTTTTATTCCGTACTTCAGCTTTCTATAAGCCACAGAAAATAGCAGTTGGCTATTTTGTCTCTGCTTGGACTGATTCTGCAATCCCTGAAGACCAACATCTTCCTTGCCATAGACAGTGGGCATTTTTTCAGGAGAAATAGCTCAACAACTTCAGTCCAAAAACAAAAAAAAGGGTCAGAAACATCAACATCACCTTTCAGGTAGAAAATCAATATGAAAATAATGAAATTGAAAAAAAAAATTTAAATAAAGCCCAAGGTGATCCAACACAGATTGTTAAAGTCAGAATAAATGGCCAACCAAACAACCACTGCAGAGTCATAACTTAAAGAGGAGCTTGACTTAGGGGAAGAGCAATGTTTATAGAGAGGCTAATTTAATTTTATTGAATACTATTAAAATACCTATTAAAAGTTACAAGTTGTGGTCCAAAATTCTGCAGTGCAGCTCAGAGGAGAGCTATCACGGGCTAAGAGCTGGCCTGACATAGTGATCTATTTCTGATATATAAAATAAGCTATTTCAAGAGCCCATTTCCAGGCAAGCTGCCTGGGTGGAGCCCTGCCCTCACTGCAATCAACAGTTTTGCTGGTGACACTGGTGGAATGATAAATGTTTTTAGCCTGTGCAAGATTAAATATTGGGCCAGGAAACCCGCATCAGTTCTATTGCGTGCAATAGCAGTGATTTTAAACACAACGTTTGCTTAGGAGGATTACTAAATGGAACAGAGATTATTTTTTTGGGGTTTATTCCCCCAGATTTCCTGATTGTGCCATGTTACTTTGTATGGTACCTGCCTCTGCTGTACCAGGACAAAATATGCACTTAAACCTTTGGGCATGAGGGGTGAGTCGTTCCCATTCCCCATCCCACTGGAAAATCAACAAAAGCAAGCCTTTAACAGTATGAATTCCATCATGGCCCAGCTTAGCAAGCACCTAAATCCTGCAAGTGCTATGATAATTTATCTTTGAACTCGTTAGTGGCGCAGCATAATTAACAAGTAAGCTGTAGGAACACGCCGCCGCTCTGTATTTACACGGCATTTTCCGTGCAGTTGCAGTGTAATTACAGAGATTATACCTGCTCTCTAGAATAAGAGTACACGGTGTACCTCATTTTGTGCCATTTCACACCAGTGGAGCAGAGCACAGCGTGGTGGAGTTGAACAAATATTTCATTCTGCTGTAGGTGGCCGGGTGTGGATCTGCACAGAGCGCTGCTATTCAAACCTGCGCCACGGTTTCGGGCTGCTCGGGGTGGCAACCTGGCTTCTGGAGCTCAAGTGATTTATATTTTGGAATGCTGCCCTTTCAGTGATGTCAGTGGACTTGAATATGCAGATTTGAAAACAGGCAGGCTAGAGTTTGGGGGTTTTTTTGGTATAGCAACCTTCCTTTCTCATGTATAGTACTGCAGGTTTCTATAGTAATTACAGGAAATGCATGGCAAGAATCTATCTATCTTCTTACAAAGATTTAATTTTTTGGATTTGTTTTATGCCAGCACATCCCCATTGCTGTGCCCTAAAACCCCATTGGTATCACCGTACCAAATGTGAAGTCCCATCATGCAGGCACTTGGAAAAAAATACCAGCAAATGACGAAAAATGCAAAGAAATTTGCCGTGCCTCTGAGTTGGGTCACATTTTATGTGATTCAGCGTAAACTGTAAGTAAAACTAACTAAAAGATTCTATTGTGTTTGAGATCTATATCTAGCAGGAAGGGGAACACTGAACACATCACTTGGTGTAGGAATTGCTGTGCCACTGCTCCAAAGCAGGGCATCAGCCTTTAAACTCACACACTGCACTACTGCCTGCTCTGAGGAGCATGCACAGGCCTTCCTAGAGTGTGGATATTCCTAGAGCAGCAGCCATTTACACAGACCTTTCCAGAGTGTGGACACACCACCACGCTGCTCAAGTAACTCAGCAGAAACGTGGATTTATTTGCTGTCGCCGGAGAGTAAAATTTCACTTCAGCATACAAGAAAAACCATCTAAGGGCTCCCTGTTCTGCTCCAGGTGGAAGAAAAAGAACGGAGCTTTTCTAAGTGTGAGTTATTGTTGTTCAGCTTCATAATAATTTTCTGGTCTCGAAGGCGTTGATTTATGAGCACAGTGTTAAGAACTCCTGGCTCTGAAAGGCCAGCAGTGTGACATGACAGGGCACGAGCTGCGCCGCGTTCATTTCCAGTTACTGCGTTGGCATCGTGCGACTACATCACCAAAATGAGATGCAAATTAACACGGTATAATTATCTCATTTGAATGTCTCACAGTGATTTTGCTCGGTGCTCCAGCCGGTGCTCTCGTGGCTCGTCTGGGTTCCGTGGGTGCTGGGAAGGCAGCTGTGACTCCTGCTGGAGCTCCTGTGGCTGGGCTGGCTCCAGCATCCAGGCTGGGGAACAAGCCTCCAACTGCTCGTTTCAAAGTTGGGTTCAGGGAACTCTGATGCTTAACATCAACAACTTGTTTCTCGCACAAACCACGTTATCCGAGGAGCTGTTTGTGAGCGCTGAGAGTTAAAATTTCAGTTCGGCTCAGATGGGGCTGGTTAAGGACGTGAGCACGGTGCACCAAAGTCTCTGCTGCACTGACAGGTTTAAAAATCATTTCAGAAGAAGTTAGAGAGCGAAATAAAACTTCCTTTTGCAAAATTCGTATTTTAAAAAACGTTGGTTGGG